GGTTGTTGCAAAATTTAGTAGGGGACTAGATCATGGGTTGTCAACAAGCTCTAGAATTATTCACTATGATTGAAGTAGAACTTGATGCAATTAAGACATGATTACTGATATCCAAACAGCTCAGCCTTACAAAGATCTAGGTATACTCCGATTCACTTGAAGTGCTAAACCTGCTAAAGAGGGATAGTCCAGTTGATCATCCATTGCGAAGTGAGCTCAATGACATTCGTGATTTACTTTACACAGATTGGGAAGCTAAACTTCATTATACTAGAAGGAAAAACATAGCCTATGCTAATTTTTTAGCAAGAACTAGTCATGTTGATTCTAATGGGCTCTTGATGATTCCCACAGTACCTACTGGTTGCTTGGATTAGTACCTTAGGGCAAATCTCAAACTAAATTGTAAGCTTTTTTATTAGGTTTTGTAATTAGGAGCTTTTCTTCTAGTCTTCTTTCAAGCTTTTGCTTGCCTCTGTTTTTCCCAAAAAAAAAAAAGATGATTGTTGTGCATAAATGTTACAAAAAGCCACGGTAGCATAGCGTGCGCTTTCACTTGCTTTGTAATAATTGGGTGTACTATTTCCTTGATTAGACTTCAAGGATGTGCTCTTTTTCTTGTTTTTTTTCCCTAAAAAAATTCTCCATCCAGCAGCCATCATTCCCCACTCCCACCTTTTAATATAAAATAGTTTGAAAGTTTTTTTTATTCTAAATATCAAATAAAATTAAAGTAATTAATACCTTTTTACTATTTTACTTATTTTTTATTTTCATTATTTAATTTTCTAAGCAACAATTTATTAAGGTAATTAATTATAAAAAAAGCTAAAAATTTAAAAGTTACATTTTTTATAATTTTAATTTTATAACTAACATTTTTAATAAGCGAAATTTATTAATCTCATCTTATATTAAGAACTGAAATAATATGCGTGCGTGTGAAAATGGAGTTGTCACTTCTTCACACGTTTTTTCATAATTAATTTAGTTTAACAAATTTTTGATATTTCTAGCAATTTTTTATTAGAACAATGCGTGGTGTGGTGGCGCGTGGACAAGCGTGGAGGGGATTGTATGAACAGTTTCTCTCAACCAACATGTTAGATTGTTAGCCCTGTTATGCATACACAGACGCACAAGACAGGAACAGCGTGTCTTCATTTTTTTTTTTTTTGGTTGTTGTTACTCCCCCTGTTGCTAGATATAAAAGAAACTACCTTTTATTATTTTATTTTTATTTATAAGCAAAATTACATATCTTAATAGTCATTTATTACAATTTTTTTAAATCATCTCTTGTAAACTCATAATTTTCATTCACAAAAAACAATTAATGCATCCTTATTTTGATAAAATACAATAGTATTTTAATTTAATTTTTTATTTTCAGATAGTTAACTAATTTTTTTAAATTGTATAATATAACTATTATATATATATAGCAACAGATGGAGTATGTTATACTAATTTATATCCATGCGTGTCTATTTATAAAGAAGCATCGAGGTGTTAGTGTTAATGACACTTACAAAGGTATGGATTGAAAGCATTGAAATTCATGGACACGCCAAGTTTTGATGAAATTTATATTTGCATTTAACTTATTAGACAATCACGCGCCCTGTCGTGAATAAAGCTAACCTTACTTCGACTTCGATGTTGACGATGGGGCCCGGATTTCAAGTGTTGTTTAGAGAGGGATTCGGTTTGAAATGGAATATGGACTGTTTGGGCCTCTAGCCCATTTAAGGTGGGAGGCAGTGGGCGGAATTTTGAAAGCGCGCAATGGATGAGATTAAACGCTGATGCGAACAATGATTGTTAAATGGGTCTTTGAAGCCCAGAACTGATTTGGGACCAAGCTTTTTTTGGATAAGGTAACCCTTTTTTGGGGGCCCTGAAATTTAAAGTTTCTGGAGTCAGCCAGTGAGAAATGTGAAATGATAGGCATATTGAAGGATGGTTACTTGATTGTAAAGAAATTAGTGACGCGAAAAGGGAGAGAGACGGAAAGTGATGGAGGACGGTGCAAAAATGATGATAAGTTGGAATGAAGCCAAGTGAAAAGCCAAAAAGCACAAATGTCGTGGCAGGCTATGAAGGGAAGCCACTGGGCGTTGGGCTGTACGTGGACAATGTGATATACAATTTGAGTCAGCCTAATGCTCCAGTATTTGTGCTTGGGTTATCCCCAAACTTGTTTATAAAAATTATTTTGAAAAATATAAAACAAATTCTCACAAAATATAAATATTATCATTTAAAATATATTATTATGGTTATACGGGGAGGAATAGCACGCATGAAAGTCAGTGGTGGTGGGGTTGGCCGAATAGTATCGCCTCTGTTTAAATTCCAGTGCCCGACCACGGACTTTTATGCACACTGTTCCTCCCCGTGTAACCATAACATTTACTCCCTTCGTTTAAAATATAAAATATTTTTTAAGAGTTAAATATTAAAAAAATATAATTTTTTTTATTTTTTTAAAATATAATTTTTATTTTTTTAAAAGTATTTTATTTAATAAATTACTTTATATTTATTTTAAAATAAAAAATCTTATAAAATAAGAGCGAATATGAAAATATATGATTAATTTGAAGACAAGTAATGACTTTATTGAGAATGAATTTGATTAAAAATATTTTATATTTTTTTAATAAAGAAAGTAAGTAATTTTTTTAATAGCTCTGCTTAATTCAGAATATAAGACATTGATTAGATTTTATACTTATTAATTATACATTTATTTTGTTATATTCCACACAAGTAAGTAATTAATGAAATTGCTTTAAATAAATCATATATTATATTTATTCTATTTAAGGTCATGTTTGGTAGGGTGAAATCATAACCTTGAGAAAAGAATTGGAGCTGGAATGAATCACAAAACAATGATGTTTGATACATGCAAAATTAAATTTTCAAGAATTCTGATTCAAAAAAAAAAGTTGACTTAAATTTTTTGGTGGGAGCTATGAAATCTAAAGCAATTCTGTAGAATTATATTTTTAAAGATAATTTTATCCTCATAAAAAAAATTGAGAACACAATTGTGCCTTTATTTATTTATGGTTAATACTGGAAGAATCAAGCATGCCGACGATCGCGACGGGGACAACTCAAAATGCCCGCTTTCATTCCTTGTTCTCTGAAATATATATAAGTTATAATACATGTATATGTATGTGTTTGTATACTCCTTTCATCTAAAAATATAAAATATTTTTAATTAAATCTCACCTCCAGTAAAAAAATTATTTATTTTTAAATTAATCTTATTTTTACATATTCACCCATATTAAACACCCTATAATACATATAAAGTTATTATTAATAGGAATACTTTTAAAAAAAGCAATGATTACACCTCAAAAGATTAAAAATGCCTTACATTTTTAAACATTAAATTCTTTAAAAAATGCCTTATATTTTTAAATAAAGAGAATATAATTTATATATTTACAATATTTATTTTATAAAATATTTTACTTATTTTTAATATCTATCATCTATATAATATTTCATTTATATATGAGAAAAGGCAATAATAGTATGTGAAAAATTAAATCACAGTTCAGTTTTTAATACATTTTGATTTTGATTTTAATTTTTAGGAGTATTTTTGTCTTTTAAGTGTAATGTTATTTTCATGTCTTACATATCAAATAAAAGTAATAAAAGGATTTTATCTATTTTTTTTCAACATACTAAATGTATTTTTAAAATTTTATTTTATTTTAATTTTGATTTTAATTTTATAAAAAATCATTCAATCATACCAGACGAGATGTAAGAGTGTTAAGTAGATGTTGATTTTTTTAAAGCAAATTGAGATTTTAACTAATTTTTTAAAAACATATATCAATTAACAATAATCTTTTTTTCTTTTATAAAATATATTTTTTGTTACTGTTTGTTATACAGTAAAAACAACAGTAACATTTAAAAAAAAATACTTCCGTAATAACGACGTTGGCCCTGTGCATTGCGGAGGGGCATAATCTAGTTTATATTATGATATAGAATTGTATTAGGCAAATAACGATGACTTTTCTGAAAATAATTCCTATAGGAATATCCCGCGTTTTTTAGTTTTTTACTTAAGTTTTAATTAGAAAATGCCCCGTGCGCGAAACAAAGGATTGAATGAAAAATATTACAAAAAAATGATAAAGAAGTAATTGAATTAAAAAAAAACATTTATAAATTTATGTGGTTGAACTGAATATGAAACGTTGTTTGTCAAAGCATTTGGCAAGTTATGAAGCCATATGGGTTAGATGATTGAATAGTCAGACCCAATCAACAATTTGAATAAAGGGATCGGCCTTGAACTCAATGAAAAGTCATAGCTAAATAAGCATACCGAAATTCTGCCAGTTGCAAACCTACTCTATAGATCGTTGGTATATAAAGACACGATCTCAAACAATCCTGAATCTTATAGGAACAAAATCATCTTGCCTAAGTATCTTGGCAAGACAGGCTAGTTACCAAAAATGGAAGACAGTGAGTAAAGATCATGTCATGAGTTTTGTAAGATCCCTTATTCTTCTAAAAAACATTTTAGGTCCTAAAGGGGAGACCACCATCATTCTGTCACTATAAATAAAGTACCAAAGCACAGAAGAAGACAACAATCAACACTCAAAAGACTTGCATTTTGCACCCATAATTCTTAGATTTATCTATTAGTTTTATCTTTAATTTAATCTTGTAATTATTTTACATTTTAATAATAATAAAAAATACTTATTTTATTAAGTTTTGCGTATCTTTTACATTTAAGTAAATTGTAGTGAAGAAATTTGAGAATTTTTTTATTATCAATTGAGACTCAATATCTTTACATGACTGATAACAACATGACATGACACTGTTAAAATCACTATTTCATGAACACTGAATTTTTTAACATTTTACTGTAGATAAGATAAGATTCCTCCCAATTTTTCTTGAGTTTACATTAAACTATGATTTAAAGCCGTAGGTGTAGGCTAATCAACATGAATAACTTCACATATTTACATTTATATACAACCTCACCAATACCGCCATTTTTCTCTCTTTTCACGAAATCAAGGATAATAAATAAAAGCGCAAAATCAAGTCGGAGACCGGAGACGCAAATGTCAAACATTGAGGAAAGGAAAAATTGTCAGCATTTGACTACTCTGTTTCTATGCTGCGTTGCTGATTACGTGTTCCTGAGATTCTCCTCCGTAACCACCACCGATGTTCTCGCCCTGCCACGTCCAAACTATGTCTTTCAGCGACGGCCTAACATCCTCCTCACAAAACTTAGCATATTCCAGAGTATCGCCGGAGTTCTTTGACAACTCCACCACCGAGACCTCCGCTGCCACCTCGAACACCTCCGCCGTCACGGTCAGCCTCCCTTTCCTGCCCTCCGACGGGCCTTGCAGCCTGATTTTGAAACCCTTCTCATTCCCCACCTTGAAATTCAGACCTCTCGCCACCGTCTCGATCTTCGATACGATTGCCGTGGCAGAGCATTTGGATGTGAACATCGATCCTGTTTTCCTCTTGCTCTCGAACAGCCCGGACAGATCAAACCCCGAAGACATGGACGTGATGAACTCGAACGCGTTGAAAAACTTGGGCGATGAAGATTTCGTTGTTGGGCTTGCAAGTTCTGGTTTCTGCAGCTCTTTATCGCCGGCTTTCTCCGGAACGGGTTGCTCTAGTTGAAAAGCGAATGGCCTCGAGAAACCTTTCTGAAACCATGGGACCCGCATGATTGCTGGGATGGTGGCCCGTCTGTCCGGGTCAGCCACGAGGATTTTCGAAATCAATCTCCTCGGTTCCGCAGAAAACCACGGAGGAAATTGGAATTCGGCTCTCAAAACTTTGGTGTACATGCTCATGAGGTTCTCGTTCCGGAAAGGAAGAAACCCGGCGAGCAATGCATACAGAATGACGCCGCACGACCATATATCAGCCCTGGACCCATCGTACCCTTTCTTTCTCAACACTTCGGGGGCGACATAGGCCGGAGTCCCACACTGGGTGTGGAGGAGTCCGTCGTGCCGGAGCTGTTCAGGCAACGCCGAGAGGCCGAAGTCGGAGATTTTGAGATTCTCGTTCTCGTCCAGCAACAGATTTTCGGGCTTGAGATCCCGGTGCGATACTCCTCTGCTGTGACAGAAATCGACGGCGCTGATTAGCTGCTGGAAGTACTTGCGAGCGACGTCTTCCTTGAGTTTGCCTCGGGAGACCTTGGCGAAGAGCTCGCCGCCGCCGACGTACTCCATGACGAAGAAAATTTTGGTCTTGGTGGCCATCACTTCCTTGAGCTCAACCACGTTGGGGTGACGAACCAATCGCATGACGGAAATCTCTCGCTTGATCTGCTCCATCATGCCCTCCTTCCTGACCTGCTCCTTCTTCAGGATTTTGATGGCGACGCTTTCCCCTGTAGCAATATGTCTGGCGTAATACACCTTGGCGAAAGTGCCTTTGCCCAGAAGCCGACCTATTTCGTACTTACCAAACACCGTCCTAGTCTCCTCCTCCATGGATTCTGATCAATCTCTCAGGCGGGGGGGGTTTATTGTGAAACTTGGATGGGGTGAGTGAGATATAGCGTGTAAATTAGGAAGAGGTGGAAACAGAGAAGGAAGGGATTAATGTCGGTAGGATTGAGTAGGATGGGGTGCATTGCATGGTGGGAGGTGAATAAGGTAGGGATTGAAGGGGGAGGTGGGTTGAGAGATGAGACTTGAGACTTGAGAGTGATGTGATGAAGAAAGCGGGACGAAGGAGACGAGGGGGTGGCTGATTACCATTGGAGCTAGTGGTTTTGCCTATTCTTTGAGCTCGAAAGCCCACTGAATGAAAAAGTCATCCATCCATCAGGAGGGGGACACATTGTGTGGTGGGGCTCCCGTTTCAATCATGCTCCTGGTTCCGCTCATTCAGCATCATTAATATGCTCATTATTATTTTTATTTTCTTGTTAGTAACTCTTTGTTTGTAAAGTTTATATATGAGTTGTTCCCTGACTCATTATATCATCATGTAGTCTCGGATTTAAATTTTAAACAACGTTTGTGGATGTGTTTATATATTTATATATATCAGTAAAATTTAAATCCATGATCTTGCCTTCAGGTCAAAAAAAAAAATATCCAAGATCTTGCGGTAGTTGACTAAATCAATTTTTATTTCCCAGGTAACTCTTTCTCAAATATGAAACCGGATGGTACTTTGTCGTCTTGACTCTACTTCACTGGCGGGAGATCCGAGCCCTGAAGGATGAGCATATACCCTGGTGGTTCGCGGGTTCCGTCAAGAATCGCCATCGCCTTGTCAACGCCCATTTTTCACTCTGTCTTCTTCATTTTTTTGATAGAATTTCAGTCCGCTTTCTTGCTTGATTTATTGGTCTTCCCTCGCTTTATTTTTTCTTTTGGAAAACAGTGACAATTTTTAAAATTTTATAATATAAGTCATAATTAATTAATTAATAATTTATCAATAATATTAGTTAAAATCTTAAATTTTTTAAAAATATTTGCATTTTTTTATTTATACTTGCATTAAATATTCTATATAACAGCCTTGATAATAATAATTAAAATTTTAATTCATATTTTTTTCAAAAAGAGTAATAAATAAAATATGAATATAGTTGGAAAAAAATATAAAAGTTAGGATAAAATTTATGTATTTAGTCTTATATATTTAATATTCTTGTTTCAAATTAAATCAAGACATGTGGATCTTGTATGAATCATTTATTCTATAACAAATTATTGTTATTAATTTTATTAACATATTAAGATTCACTTATCATGATTTGATTGGATATAAGTATATTAAGTATATAAGTGTTTGGGTTAAATATAAAACATCGCTTAAATAGGTTATAAGGATAATTGGGTTGAGTAATTGAAACGTCAAATCCAATATAAATAAAAGAGGCCGGCCTTAAAGCTCAATAAAGTCCACAACACACAAACATGCCGAAATCCTGTCAGTTTCAAATATTAGACCGTTAGCACAAAGGCATGATCCTAAATAATGCTGAAATTTATGCCCAAGTAGTTCAGTGAAACGGGCTGTTGATTAAAATGGAGAGACCATGCCATAAGTTTTACGATATTCCTAAATATCAAACATTATAAAGAGGAAGAAGAAAAACAGAGAAGACAGTCAACACTCGATCAAGACTTGCATGATTTACATTTACTTGCTCTTTTCAGTTCTTAGTTTTTAGTTTGTAATTTTTAAACACTTCAATAAAATTAAATACTTATTCTGTCAAAGCCTACTATCTTTTTACATCCAAGTGAATTGTGGTATGGGAATCTAGGACCCTTTCGTTATCTATTGAGACCCAACATCTTTAGCACGCTTGGCATTTGTTGTTCAACCACAAACAATAAGATTAGGTGTATAAGTTTTGCCCCAAAAATTATTCAATATCCTATATTTTGAATCAGATAAGTTTTTTAAAAGATGCCTTATATCACTGTTTGGAAGGAGTATATGCTTTAAATAAATGCAAAATCTAATATCTAGTACATACGTTACAGACACAAAGAATGGCCTGATTTGATGGAGATGATTCTTCTAATATGATAATCCAATCGATCCATTCAGAGTTGTAAAATAAAATGGCATTTTCCCCAAAGTCCACATTTCTCACTGACCTTGTAACGGGTGTTATGTAACTGAATTTTCTTCTTTCTATTTTTATCTCTGGACCCTATATGTATGTGATGACCAGATTCTTCTGGTCTCATGTAAATCAGTTTCTCTGGGCCAGAATAGAACATGCTTGTTTGACAAAGAGTATATTCGAGGATGATTTTTGCTTAAGCATGTAAATAACGAATAATATAACTTAGATACATTTACTTAAATCTATTAGATCCAATTCTCTAATGAAACCTTGTCACATGTGAGTTTTATCATTAATAACTGTCTAGTAGACTTTTGAGGGATTTTCGTGGGAATTTTTATTGTTTAAAACATTCACGCATTAGGATTCGATTGAAAATTTGGATCTAATATATATATATATGTGTGTGTGTGTGTGTAATCTTTTATGTATATATAATAAACCTGCTTTAATTTTTGAAAATATAATTGCCACAATTTACTTATTCTCAACGAGGTGATAGTACACATGTTTGTAAAAAATTGATATCATTTGATTTCACTTTTATTTTACATTTTGATTAAAAATTTATGAGAATTATTAACAAATTTTATCAAATTTGTAACAAAAATCTCAAAATATCTTAAATGTAATGTATTTGATATTTATCATAAAATTACCTATTTAAAAGTCAAAAGATTATTGTTAGAAAGGTTTCTTTAAAAAAAATTACTTATTTTTGTAATGGTGAATTTATTGAAATCCTTGACATAAATGTCTTTGCTTTGTTATCTCAATTATCTAATTAAAATTTCTAGCTCTACCTCAGCCTTTAATACATTTTGTTATAATTTTAACACTTTAAAACTCATCAACTTAAGTTAAGAAATCAATAAAATTTATGCTCTGTGCTCATATATATATATATATATATATGTATGTATATGTATGTATGTATACACTAATAACATATTTCCCTTGCCAAATATTTAACGGAGGTAAACGTTTCCAAAGCAAAGGCGGACGGAGAAGAGGAGGAGGAGGGAGACACGTGTCAGTTGTTGAATGCTCCGTTGGTGGAATCAGTTAAAAAGGTTTGAAACAAACAAAGTTGAGTTAACGCTGCGCTCCCCACACAAACGTCGCTGTCCAAACTCCAATCCTTTTTGAAGATTCCTCCGCTGCCCATGCTTTTGGTGTACAGTTCTCCTCGTGAATGGAATTCGTTTTCACTTAAAAAAAGGGGGGGCACCTTTTCAAAAATTACCCCTAATATTTAACGATTAACAGTTTTTGCCCAGAAAAATGTTCCAGTAAATATATTATAGGCAAGAGAAATTCAAAAGCAAAATTGAGTGGTTTAATTATTTTATTTGTTTAAAAATAGCATAATTGTTTTGTGACTTACCTTATCTGAATGCAAATTTGGTCCAGCGGAAACATGACACGGATCGTCCCACGCTCGCAGCCATGTGCGATGAGAAATGAAGATAAGCCCTGCTTTCCCAGCTGAACCACGTCACACGTTAATACCAATCAATTAATGTTTGGAATCCGACTCCTGATATGACCGTTTGGATAGGCCACATAATCAATTCTACAAGCCTAAAACTTTGGGTTTTTTTTTTTTTTTTGGTTGGGGGGTGGTGGGGAGGGCACTTTATTTTTCTCGCAAGTCAATTTTACCCTTGCAACTCCATTTCACATGAAGCTACTCCCACATGCTTTTAATGATCAATTATATATTTTGGTAATTTTAATTTTTTTTACTTGATCTAGATGTGTTTGAAAATTCAATGAAAATTGTCGCATTTTATTTTTATTCTATCCTCTATTTTTTTGGTCAACATTTATTGTCTGTTTTTCATTAAGATATTAAATGGATCCCTATTATATACTCTCTTTTAGTTTTATTTATAGGAATAAATTTAAAACTTATTAAATAGTTTAAATAATATAATTTGAATTTTTTTAATTAATTACATATATAAGTCAAATAATATATTATACTTGTTAAATGAAGTTGAACAAATTTAATAATATTATATATAACTTTATCAATATTTTAATTTTTAAAAGTAACATCTATTATGATAATTTGCACATCTAAAATTAATTTTGATTAAAACATTCAAACATCTTCTATTTTGTCAAAATAAATTTTAGAAAAATAATATCTAAATATGATCAAGTTATAATATAATCAATTATAATCAAAATTAATCATATTATTAATTTTTATAATCAATTATACCCAATTAAAATTCAAACAGGTCCAAGACATATTTATTTTTGCGTTCAGCCTCTCCATGATAATTTAAAAAAAAACATATATATTTTTTTATTTAAAAATATAAGGTATTTTTTGAGGAGTTGAATATTTAAAAATGTAAGACATTTTTAATATTTTGAGGTATAATTATTGTCTTTTTTTAAGTGCTTTTATTGATAGTGAATTTATATTTATTGTAGGGTATTTAATAAGGGTAAATATAAAAGGATATGATTAGTTAAAAAGTAAGTAACTACTTTATTGAGGGGTGAAATTAAATTAAAAATACTTTATATTTTTAGATAAATGGAGTACTATATTTCATTTTCGGATCAGTCTCCAGTAAATATTCTTGTTGTTCAATCTACAATGGAATCGGGAATTCATCAGGCGAGCCCGTGACCAACTCAGGCAATGCCAAATACGTTATCAATAAAATAACGAATAATCCTTCAGAAGGTGAATTTTGAGAAAGTTCACTCAGATAATGGATATCATTTGACGTTGATAGGAAATTAGCATATATTTTACTCTTGTGACGGAAAAATAGGTGGCAGTACACGTGGCCCCAAATAATTGACATAAGCATGCTCATCAACGACTGACTCAACAATGCATGTGCCGACCATGTTCACGAATCATGAGCGACATTTTCACATTGCTTCACCGTGGATCCATCCAAGGGACATGCTAGGCAACTGATTTTTGTCATTATTTTCAAAAGGGAAAAAGTACGAGGGGGTAAAAGTTAGACTACAATTAAGAGGATATTGCGTCTCTCTTCCCTTTTGGCCTTTTCTGTTTAAACTTTAAACCGAACAAATATGAATTATTGTGCCAAATATTTGCATGCGTGGCATATTTTAAGCAGCCGGTAATAAAAATAAGAGAAAACTTTATACACTTAATATTTTATATATAATATATTTATCTCTAATTAGTTCAAAACAAATAGATTTTAAAGTATTAATAATACATTAAAAAGAGTATTATATCATACAAAATTTAAAAAAAAATCAG